GTTCTTACTCAGCAACCTCTTTTTAAAAACCTAACAGACAGCACCCCCCATACATGGGGTGGGTCCTGGGTGAGAAAGGAAAAGAACAAAGAAGCTCGCTAGTTGAACCTTTCCTTCTCTCGGCTTCCTGGCCATCATGAGCTTAGCTGCTCAACCTTAGTGCATCTTCCTGCCACCAAGAACTGAAATCTCTGGAACTGTGAGCAAAACACACCGTTTTACCCAATGGTAGTTATGTCAGGTATTTTCTCTAATTTACTAGAATTTTATGAAATGGGGACTTGAAAATTTTTTTTAAAAAGCCATAAGAAAACAACAACAAAATCTAAAAGGTCAGTAGTGAGGCGATATGAAGCCGTGTCTCAGAAGAGATGGAGTCCCTCCCCGGCAGCCCCGGGAACACAGGAAATCTGCTGTCAGCATGGAGAGTGAGCTGCACGCCAATGCGTGTGGCAGTCATCATGATATGAATTCCAGAGCAGCATTCTACAACAAATCAACCTAAATTCATGAAGCTCTGCAGAGGTAGCACTGTTAACACCTAGAGAGGGTCCTTCATCATTTCAAAATAATTCCCAACAAGAAGTGGTAAGAATAGCAAGTAGAGAAAATGATTTCCAAATGATGATGGAGTTTTTTCTCAAAGCCTCTATCTTTCTATAAGGCCTTGTTTGAGCTTCTGGAAGCGGGTTGTTTTCAGACACATTTGCTGTGGTTGCCAATCCTATTTTTAACTCCAGCAACATTTTCTGAAAGACCTGTGCTGGCCAGCAAATCAAACCATTCCCTGATAAACAGAGCTAGACAGATGGGGTAATTTTGTACTGAGGAATGCTATGGTCCCTTGAAAAGTCCTCGTGCCTGTAGGATTCTCACCCCTGCAGCCCTTCTCAAGCTTTTAAACCTGGGAACTTCAGCCAACACACACCCACCCGGAGAGGCTGACATTTAATTGGCCTGGGCACAGGAATCCTTAAAGCTTCTGTGTGGCCTAATGTGTATCTAGAGCTGAGAGTTGGTGGGAGGAGCTGGATATCAGTGCCAGCCATAGCCAGGTTAAACCTCAGCTTTGAGTCAGGCATCAGTGACGAATGCCTGTAATCCTAGCTACTTAAGAGACTGAGATCAGAGGATTGTGGTTCAGAGCCAGCCTGGGCAAACAGGTGAATGAGATTCTTATCTCCAATTAACCACCAAAAAGTCAGGAATGAAACTGTGGTTCAAATGGTAGAGTGGTAGCTTTGAACAAAAACAAAGCTCACGAACAGCACCCTGGCCCCGAGTTTAACCCCAGGATTTGCATAAAACTAAGCTGTCAGCTTTGCTCTTCCTAACTCTGAGACCCTGGTTACTTTATCATACTAATTCTTATTCCTTCCTCGGTAAAATGGGAATAAAAATTTCTACTCTAAAAGTTTACAATTGGTTTAAATATGGAAGTGAGCTGGAAGGTAGAGATATCTGTCCTTTGGCCCTCTTGGCTTTAGAACTTTCTAAGGTATCACACTTTGCTCTTTGCAGGCTTGTCTGCCACAGTGATTGAGAACACAGCTGCAGAGCTGCATCTGGCCGGCTTTGAATACCAGCTCTGTTCCTTACTAGCTGTGTTATCAGGTGCAAGTTAATTAACCATGGTGTGCTCCTATAATGGAGAGAATAATATCTTTTCCAACAGTGTCTTGGGGGGACTCAATGGATTTGTACATGCAAACACAAAGAATGCACCTTCTCTGTGCTCAGTGACAGCAATAGTCATTATTCATTTTTGACTCTTGGGGCAATACAATTCAGAATCCCATATTTAGAAAGCTTAATAAAATTTGGGGTTTAGTGAGGAGCTCACACTAGGAGAACAGGGTTTATACTTGGAAAGAATTTTAAATCAGTTTTAATTACTCATCACAACCATTTTGTTAATGAGGAGACTGGCTCACGGACGGCCACGAATACCTTGAAGAGCATAAACGATGCTACCTGAGCTTTGAGAGTGTCTCCATGAAGGAATTGAAAGCCGACTGCCGGAGTGAACGGACTTGTTACACCGCGTTTTGGTAGTACCGGATGAGAAGTGCTGGATGCCAGCGTAGAAATGGATGTGTGCAGATATGTTAACAAGACGTGTGGGCTGTGGGTCACTTGGCAGCGTGAGTGTGGACGTGCACCTGGCGCTCTAACTTCTGTGAGACTGGTGTCACTTACAAAACCAGTTGGTTGGTTCTTGTGGCCTCTATTTTTTGGTATATAGTTAAGAGCCATAGTGCTTTTTAAAAATCGATGTTCTTATAAGGTTGGTGTGCAGAGATAATTACAGCAGCCCAACCTGAATACTGGCTGCTGTGTATGGACTGTCGCAGGTTGGAGAGGGGCGGGGGCAGCACGGAGCCATGCCCACAGGCAGAAAGGGTGGCCCACGCAGCTCCGCTCCGCTCCGTGTGTGAGGTGCCCCGGTGCTGCGCTCTGTTTTCCATCCAGGGGTCACCTGCTGCCCTCACTGGATGACTGGTTTTCACATCCCAACATCGAAGTCCTTGAGCCTATGCTAAACTGGGATAAAACACCCACGAAAATCCCAAGAACATACTTACCCACAAGTCTGCCCCTTTCAGATCTTCATTCAAGCCCCTACATTGAGAAAGGTCAAGGAAAGGATTTGGGCTCTCTCTCTAGTACTACAATCATCCATCCCAGGTGGGCAGACAGAGCCTTCGTCCTTAAGAGAATCAATGGCTTTTGGTTCTATAAATAAAGCTTACTTGACATTTTTTGTAGGAGCTATGTAATCCAAAATACTATATTGAGTGAAAAAACAAAGGGATGGTGACCAGGCCCTGAAGTAACAATAACAACAACAACAACAATAATTCTCTCTTGAGCAAATATTAAAGACAATACTGTTTGGTTTCATACAACACAAAGGCTCAGTCTCTCTCTTCTTTCCTTTCCTTTTCTTGTCTTTTCTATTTTGTGCCAGTCTTAGGGTTTGAACTCAGGGCTCTACACTCTTGATTAGCTTCTTCACTCAAGGCTGGCACTCTACCAAGTGAGCCACACCTCTACTTCCACTGAGTAATTTGGAGATTAGAGTCTCATGGATTTTCCTGCCTGGGTTGGCTCAGCCTTCTCAGTAGCTAGGATTACAGGCGTGAGCCACCAGCGCCCAGCCTTCTCCCTTCACAGAAATGGGAAGCACTTATAATTGCTGTCAGTGTAAATTTTCCAAAGGCTAAAATAGCCTATGGTAATCAATACTGTGACAAAGAGAGCAATATTTTTTGTGAGTAAGTACTTTTAGAGATGCATGTTAAGAGGTTGAGAGACAAAGAAACAAGAATTGAATGGTTATACAGTGCAGATAGTCCCAACACAGCTGTTTCTAACACGTCTCCCCTCCTGGCTATTGGATACATCCTTTATGAATAGTGAGATGAAGAATTTGTGGCTTTATGCTTTTTCTTGTTGTTAAACACTGAGGGGAAGAAATGCTGGGAAAGCAGGTTCTCAACAACAGAAGACATTCATAAAAATAAAAGCAAATTTCCAGTGCAAGCAACCAGTGATCAGAAGCAACATTCACACACAAAAACCAATCTAGTGCCAGGTGCCAGAGGCTCACGCCTGCCATCCCAGCTACTCAGGAGGCTGAGATCTGAGGATCACAGTTCAAAGCCAGCCCAGGAAGGAAAGTCTGTGAGACTATCTCCAATAAACCACTAGAAAACTGGAAGTGGTGCTGTGGCTCAAGTGGTAGAGTGCTGGCCTTGAGCTGAAGAGCTGAGGGACAGCACTCAAGCCCAGAGTTTTCACAACTGACAAAATAAATAAATAAAAATAAAAAACAATCTAGTACCAAGTATACAGTATAAAATACTATATTATAAATACATTAATATCCTGCCTCATACACTATTAATACAAAGAAGTTGAACCCGTGAACACGTAAGGTTCTAAAGATACCAACTGCATGAGAGCTGTGGAAAGGGGTGGACAGTTCCCCAAATGTTTAGAGACAGAATTCTGCTTCTAGATATATACTCAGAGAAAGGCAAACATACACCTACACATAAACTCATATGTGTATAATAGCACTGTTCAAAACAACAGAAAATTGTCCAAAACAACACAAATTTCCACCAAATGTCCATCACTAGGTCAATTTGTAAACAAGTCATGGTACAGCCATGCAACGGAGTACTGTTCAGCCATAAATGAGTAAAACTAACACGTGCCACTATGTGGCTGACCTAAAATACAAGCTAAGCAAAATAAGGCTAACAAAATTTCACATTGTATGAGTCTTGTTTTAGAAAATATGCAAAAGAGGCAAAACTCATATTAGTGGTAGCCAGGGCTGGGGGCAAAGGTACAGTCAGGTGATCACTTCATGTTCTTCTGAAGACACAGTTTTAGACCAGAGAAAAGTGGTTTTTGTCTTGTCTTTTCTGGTGCTGGGGATTGAACCCAGGACGTGCCCTTGGTAGACAAGTATTCTGCCACTGAGCTACATCCCAGCCCCCTTAAGTATATATTATATACATCTCACCTCAATTAAAATTACATATGTAATAATAGTAGAGTGCAAATATGGAGAGGTTTGTTAAATGGTAAAACAATATCTTAAATGCTAGGCAACTCATCTTCGGCTCATTTTTTACTTTCTTTGTCATGCATATTCTTTCACCAATGCTGGATTTGTGCTCAACATGTTTAAAGATGAGATGGATTAAAGCATCTAGAATGTGCTATTGCAGGTGAACTCCCAGACACTCCGCACCTGGCGGGATAATATTTCAAATATATTCTCACTGCCTTCGTGCAAGCTGTGCATTTTCTAGCTCACAGCAGTTCCTGGGTTTTTATATCCCTTGTGACCCAACCATTAATGTTTTTTACTCAGCAAGGGCCAAAAACATGTGCACCTCCCAAGCTAGGGCTTGTTTCCCCTCGGCAGTTCTTCTTCTATTCTCGATTAGCAATGGAGAAGAGAGAAGCGCCAGACTTACCCACGCAGGGCAGCGTGTAGCCGAGCTGGGCGTCGTGGACAAACTGCCGGTCGTTGAGTCTCGTCACGCAGTACAGGTGGAAGCAGTCCAAGCAGATGACGTGGTGGTGGTTGCACGGGAAGACCAGCACGGGGCTCCTGCACAGACAGGGGAGAGGTTTCTTGTGGGACCTGTGGGGTGGATAGGCAGCACGTGCTTTGCAATGGCTTCTGGAAGGAGACCCGGATGCCAAGACGTGAGCTCACCTCCACCAAGGCTGCCCCTTCAACACTGCAGGGGCTCTACTCTACAAACCATAGAGGTCAGTATCGACGCATGTAGCCATCCGTTGCTTACACCTTAGGGCAAATATAATTTCTTTCTTCAAGTCTTCCCTGATTCACAATTCTCCATGAACAACTGAAGTTCCACCCACCGTCTCCATTTCCATTGGATGTGTTTCCCTCTGCTGATCAACTGTCATCTTCTTGAAAGCCGCTACTGTGCTGACGCTGTACTTTTATATCCCCCTAGGACTGGTGTTTTAAGGTTTGAAATCAACATCGCTTGAATTTAATTTCAATGACATATAAAACTGAACTTCCTTGAAGTCCAAAGGAAAATCACAACTGCCACCAAAGTAGGTGTATATTCGGCAGTTACTTACATTTCATTACCAGATCAAAAATACAATTCAGAAATAAGAAATCAGCCGAGAAGGATTTTTCTATTTTAATATTTTATCTACCCCAGGCACATATTCTACTTCTAAAATTATGATTTAAGGGATTATTAATAAATCAGTATATACAACTCCTAAGAATTTTAGACTCACTTAAAACACTTTACAGGAAAACAAATCTCTTCTAAAGCCCTGGAATTCTGCTGGCAAATGAACCATGAGGCTATTTCAAAAAAAAAGGAGACAAATCGAATACATTAGTTTAATTTAAGATCAGTCTCAAAGCAATTTCAGTAGTTAAAAAAATTATTGGAAGCAATTTAGTTAAGTCTATTGCGTAGGTAAAGATTAGTAAATACAAAACAAACACGTTTGGAGCTGGGAAGGTGGCTGGGTGGTAGAGCACTTGCCTTGCATGCCTGAGGCCCTGGGTTTGATTCCACATAAGCAAAAAGAAAAAAGCTGGAAGTGGTGCTGTGGCTCAAGTGGTAGAGCGCTAGCCTTGAGCTGAAGAGCTGAGGGACAGCGCCCAGTCCCAGATTTCAGGCCCCATGACTGGACCAAAAAAACAACAAAATAAACATGTTTGTTTCATGTAAGAGTTTTTCAAAGGCCCTTCCCCTCAAAATTTAATACTAAATATTAATATCATACAAGAACATTTTTTTTATCATTTTTATTGCAAAGGTGACGCACAGAGGGGTTAAGGTTATAAAGTCAGGTAATGAGTACGTTTCTTTTGGAATGGTGCAGCCCCCTCCCTAATTTTCTCTCAGGTTTTCTCTCCCAACCCCACTCAGAAGATAGTTTCTTAACACCTAGGTGGTTTTTCAAACTCTGGTTTGCTATTTATTTACTTTGAAGCAATATCTCCTATAAAACAAAGAAGAGAAAGCATTCCCAGGTAAGCAAACTAAATACGTCCAGATGCTTGTGTGCTGTTCCCTCTTTTGACCTAACAAAGGCCTTCACTTTTGTTTCTGGGACTTAGTTAATTCACGTTGATTGCTCTGAATTTTTAACCTGTTCCCTCGGAACAACTGCCCTTCGAAGGAGATAAAACCACCAAGGCTCCTCATCTCCTCGCGAGGCACCCGTGCACGGGCGTACCACGTTCACGTCCACGGTGCATGCTTCCTGCAGCTGCTGCACAGACGTACCACGTCCACGGTGCATGCTTCCTGCAGATGCTGCATAGCGTACCACGTCCACGGTGCATGCTTCCTGCAGATGCTGCATAGCATACCACATTCACGTCCACGGTGCATGCTTCCTGCAGATGCTGCACGGACATACCACGTCCACGGTGCATGCTTCCTGCAGATGCTGCATGGACGTACTACGTCCACGGTGCATGCTTCCTGCAGATGTTGCATAGCGTACCACGTCCACGGTGCATGCTTCCTGCAGCTGCTGCACAGACGTACCACATCCACGGTGCATGCTTCCTGCAGCTGCTGCACAGACGTAACACGTCCACGGTGCATGCTTCCTGCAGATGCTGCACGGACGTACCACGTCCACGGTGCATGCTTCCTGCAGATGCTGCATAGCATACCACGTTCACGTCCACGGTGCATGCTTCCTGCAGATGCTGCATAGCATACCACGTCCACGGTGCATGCTTCCTGCAGATGCTGCATAGCATACCACGTTCACGTCCACGGTGCATGCTTCCTGCAGATGCTGCACGGACGTACCACGTCCACGGTGCATGCTTCCTGCAGATGCTGCACGGACGTACCACGTTCACATCCACGGTGCATGCTTCCTGCAGATGCTGCACGGACGTACCACGTCCACGGTGCATGCTTCCTGCAGCTGCTGCACAGATGTACCACGTCCATGGTGCATGCTTCCTTCAGATGCTGCATAGCGTACCACGTCCACGGTGCATGCTTCCTGCAGCTGCTGCATGGACGTACCACGTCCACGGTGCATGCTTCCTGCAGATGCTGCATAGCGTACCACGTCCATGGTGCATGCTTCCTGCAGATGCTGCATAGCATACCACGTTCACATCCACGGTGCATGCTTCCTGCAGATGCTGCACGGACGTACCACGTCCACGGTGCATGCTTCCTGCAGCTGCTGCACAGACGTACCACATTCACGTCCACGGTGCATGCTTCCTGCAGCTGCTGCACGGACGTACCACATCCACTGTGCATGCTTCCTGCAGATGCTGCACGGACGTACCACGTCCACGGTGCATGCTTCCTGCAGATGCTGCACAGACGTACCACGTCCACGGTGCATGCTTCCTGCAGATGCTGCACAGACGTACCACGTCCATGGTGCATGCTTCCTGCAGATGTTGCATAGCGTACAATGTTCACGTCCACGGTGCATGCTTCCTGCAGATGCTGCATAGCGTACCACGTCCACGGTGCATGCTTCCTGCAGATGCTGCATAGCGTACCACGTTCACGTCCACGGTGCATGCTTCCTGCAGATGCTGCACAGATGTACCACGTCCACGGTGCATGCTTCCTGCAGATGCTGCATAGCGTACCACGTTCACATCCACGGTGCATGCTTCCTGCAGATGCTGCACAGACCACCTTTCCTCACCGTTGGGCTATGAGAAACCTTCTCCACACTACCTTGGGAAACGCGGAGTCCATAAGACTTGCTTTCAACAAAGAAGATTGTGGAGAAACTACTAGAATGTTTGTAAAAATGCTCTTATATAGAGCAAGCCTGAAAAGAACGCATGGCAACATTCCTGTAGAGGAAATAAAAAGAGAACTCAGAGAGGAGCGGTCCGTGGCCCTGAGGCTAGCATGGGGAAGGAGGGCCCAGGGGAGGATGGCCCCCCGCATATGGCTGGTCCCTCAGGGTCAGTGAGGTCCCCAGGAACACAGACCTGCCTCGTCATCCACAGAACATCGGCCGTTCTGCCTAAGAATGACATGCGTTTGAAGCAGATTAGTGCGAGATAAATCCTACAGAGATCCAGTGGCCCCTCCAGAAACATTTTTTGAATCGTTTTAAATATTTTTATTATCTTGAAGTAGTTGTGCAAAGGAATTGCCGTTGAACAAAGCAGCTAAGTGAATACATGTGTCCTGATCACCATCTCACCCACCTTATGGTTTTGGCTGTCAATGGAATCCTTTTTTGCACTGTGTGTGTTCCGCGCACCTTGCTCTCTGTGTCATCCCTTCAACATCCGCACCCCTTCCCCAACCTCTCCCCTCCCCTCCTCCTCCTCACTTCGTGACCCATGCAGTGCATTCTGGCCTTTTTACTCCCGCCCCTCCCCCCGTTCCTCCTTCTCCTCTCCTCTTGCTCCCCCTCCCCTTGCAAGGACCTGTTTCCTGGTACTTATTTTTGTTGGGCTTTGACTTAATATTTCTAAAGAATTATACTATTCGCGTTCTTCACAGAGTCTGTTATATTTCAATTACTTCATTTAGAACCCCTTGCATTCCACCCAGTGTGTTATGTCTAAGTTGACAGGCACATTCTTGCGCCCACAAATGAGGGAAACCGCGCAGCCTGCGCTTCTCTGAGCCCCGCTTACTTCACTAGAGCTATTTTTTCCAAGTCTCTCCAGTCACAGGAAGTTTCAGAAGCCCAAGGGTTGGACCATGGAAGGCTACAACCTCCAAGATAAAGGACCAGCAAGAAGGAAGCAGGAAGTGCCGGAAGGATCTGGACCCAGGAAAGTCCTGTTCCAAACCGAGCGTCTGCTGCCCTGAGCCACTGGCCTTGAACGGAGATAGAGATAGACAGGAAGATCTATTCTGCTGGCTGAGGTAACCGATATGAGGATCAGGCTCACTTGGACTGAAAGTATCTCCCACACTCCTGCCTTAGCTTCAATATTAAGTGAAAGGCAATGCAGTGATGGCTCAACCCACTGAGTCCTGACCCTCGCCACACAGCAGTGAGCACAGCACAGGACACAATCACAGCCACTGCACATTTTATGGAGAAAGGAACCACACCACTTTTGCAATTATCTGGCTCTGTATAGCTATAGTTTTGCATCTCCCATCAGTATGTTTTTTCATTCAATTACTTATTGACCATCTACTTTGGCTAAAGTAACAATTGAATATCACTGCGAATGTGTAACACCTGGTGTTTAGACTCTAAGTACCTGGGAAACATAGCATATTGTTTCCAGACACAAAATTCACATGGAGTAAGTGTTACAAGACAGAACACACAAGCACCAAACTCCAGAGACACAGAAGTTCAGAGTGGAGGCAGTCATGCGGCCGGGAGGTTTCCTGAGAGTCTGAGCTAGATTTAAGCAATGAGATCGATGCTGGGTCACTGGATAGAAACATGGCGAATAAGTCCAGAAGAAACGGGACATGAAAACCATGCTTGAAACAGAAGACAGCAGGTGGGCTGCTGGGAGGGATGCAGGCGGGACAGGGTGGAGAGGAGGCGGGAAGGGAGGCCTGCAGAGTGTGGTCAGGGACGAGGCTGGCCGCAGGAGACCGTGCTAGCATGTGG